ACGTACAGGAGTGTACAGAAGTTTATGTAAGGAGAAAAGGAGAAAATCCCATTTAGATTGTAGCCTGATATTTTTTTTTATCCATCACCTACAGTATCTTTAGTAACGTGATCAATTTTTATGATCAATCAGTTATCATTGTAAAGACAGCGATCTCTCCTCACATTGGCAGACTGGCAGTCTATTACACAGCGTGGATTCTTCTATAGCTCAGAATAAAATCTATAGCCCACACTGTTCATCTTTCTAACACTGAGGCTATGTGAACATTAAGAGAATCAGTCGCCCTGCACTGAAACATCAACTTGTTCAGGTGAAAACAGCTTGATTTTTGAAATCCATGTTGATGTTAACTTATTGACCTTTTCTTCACTGCACCTCAGGTTCTTTCACTGCTGCTGTTTTTTTTTTTCCGATAAATGTGCATTAATGTCACACATTATTTGCAGTGGATTAGAATGGTGGTGCAGTTCTTTATTTACCTGTTGCTATGGTGATTTGTAGTATTGGGGCTCCACTGGTGATGGACACTTGCTTAACTCTGAGTGAATTGCTGCAAAGTTAGTAATTAGACTCACTGATCAGCTGCTCTGGAACCAAAAACCCAGAGTTTCCCCATCTCCAGCTTAGTGAACTCACAATTCAGTGTTAAGTTATGGACTATTAAATATCAGATCTCTCTCATCTAATTCTCTGTTAGTGAATGATTTGATAAGTGAACATCACATTGACTTATTGTGTCTTACTGAAACATGGTTACAGCAGGAAGAATATGTCAGCCTAAATGAATCCACTCCACCTAGTCACAGTAACTGTCACATCCCTCGAAACACAGGCCGAGGTGGAGGTGTGGCAGCGATCTTTGACTCAAGCCTATTAATCAACCCTAGACCTAAACATAGTTATAACTCATTTGAAAGTCTCACCCTGAGTCTCTCACACCCAAACTGGAAAACTCAAAAGCCTGTTCTGTTTGTTATTGTATACCGTCCACCTGCTCCTTATTCAGAGTTTTTAAGTGAATTCTCAGACTTTCTGTCTGATTTAGTGCTTAGTACAGATAAAATAATCATAGTAGGCGACTTTAATATTCATGTAGATGCCGACAATGACAGCCTCAACAATGCATTCTGTTCATTATTAGACTCAGTTGGCTTCTCTCAAACTAAATAAACCCACTCACTGTTTTAATCACACTCTTGATCTGGTTCTGACATATGGCATCAAAACTGAACACTTAATAGTTTTTCCCCATAACCCTCTTCTGTCTGACCATTTTCTAATAACTTTTGAATTTCCATTAATGGATTATACTCTATGTGGGAAACAATTCCACTACAGCAGATGTCTATCTGGCAATGCTGTTACCAAGTTTAAGGAAATAATTCCATCTTTATCTACTTCAGTGCCATTTGCCAA